AGCACATAGATCAGGCCTTGAGCTTACATATTTAATAGTTTTAAATAAAACATTTCATAGTGCCCCCCTCCCCCGTTTTGGGCCCGAGCCCACATCCCTCTATGATTCATGGATTATTGGATTAAAATATAAAATCTCTTGCATTAAACTACATTTACCCACCCTGTTGGACAGAACATAAGAACTCTAAGAATCCATCTAGGAGTGTTTACTGACTCCTTAATGCCGCAGAAGAGCTGATCACCCTGGTCAGCTTCTTTAGCTTCATTAGCTTGTAAGAGAGATGGATTTTGTTTAGTAAGGCAACTTATTACATGAGGACAGCCCTTCTGTAGTGACTGTAGAAACAGAAAAATTGTCCAGGAAGCAAAAAATAATAGTAATAAAATGCCTCATCATAATGTGCAGTTTGTCGGCGTTACAGGGAGGGAGTGAAAGTGCCCCCTTGCACCAGGCCGCATGTATTTTGTCACATCAGAATACATGCGAGCAGGTATCTCCGGAACACCACTGAAGCCAGCTGTTATGAAAACCGCTACCCGCACTGCCTGCTAGGAACTGACTGACACACTTGTCGGGGAGCGTCTGTGTTCAGGGTACGTGATAGCAGGCTTGACATGAAGAGATGGTGAGATGGAGGATGGTTCCTCCCCTGGAGGGCTTGCCATTGGCTAACAAAAGATGGTTGACAAGGTCGTTGTATCTGGAACAGAGGTTTCCAGCCAGGAAAGGGAACACGGGTCAGATATCAACACAGGGTAGAGCAACGCTGTCTTAGCATTTCGTATTTTTATCAAAAATAAAAGGAGACCCCAGCCCTTCTCTGACAGCTGCTCGGTCATATGTGGCGCGAACAGGGAACAACAACAGCAACAAACAGGCTGGGTTGAAATGGAACAAAAGCTCAGGGATGCAAAGGGTTGAAGTCGAAGAGAACTTATAATTAACAAAAACACGAGGGGCTGTGGGCGAGTACTGAATGTGAAATCAAATCAAACCAAATTAAATGTCAGCATGGAGCCGCTTCCTCATGCCGAACGACATGTTCCGTCATTTCTCAGAAAAAATGGACACTAATTCAGTTGAACCACAATAAGAATGTCATTAAATGGGTTAGGGTTAGGTTTTAACCAAATCATTACTTCAGCTAGGATGGCAGCATGACTCAGTGGGTAGGACTGTCGCCTCGGACCTCCAGGACTGGAAGCTGGATTTCTGCCTCTGCAGCCCAAACACATTATTGTTACAAAGGTCCCCACAAAGTGATAAAAACCTTTTATTTCAACTTTGTGGTGACATGTTTCCAATCTCAACATGGGAAAGTCAATTATTAAAAAATGTAGCACTGCAACCAAAAAACTAAAAAAAAGTCTTGTATTTTTTTCCTACTTATGGTTAAGATTAGGGCTGGGTAGGGGTTATGGTCATCATGTTGGGATTAGAGTTTTCCCCATAGAAATGAATGGACAGTCCCCACAAAGATAAAATTCCAAACCTGTGTGTGTGTGTCTGTGTGTGTCTGTGTTTATGTGCATGCCTGCCTGTGTGAATGTGTATACCTATCCGGGGTGTGCCCCATGCAGGGGGGGCGGGTGTGTCCTATCCGGGGTGTGCGGGTGTGCCCCAATCGGGGTGTGCGGGTATGCCCTATCGGGGGTGTGCTTTATCCGAGGTGTGCTCTATCCGGGGTGTGCCCTATCCGGGGTGTGCCCTATCCAGGGTGTGCTCTATCCGGGGTGTGCGGGTGTGCCCCATCCGGGGTGTGCTCTATCTGGGGTGTGCTCTATCCGGGGTGTGTGGGTGTGCCCCATCCGGGGTGTGCGGGTGTGCCCCAATCGGGGTGTGCTTTATCCGGGGTGTGCTCTATCCGGGGTGTGTGGGTGTGCCCTATCTAGGGTGTGCTCTATCCGGGGTGTGCCCCATCCTTGACGTAATTGCTTACTGACATCATAATTATCAACTCAGTGTGAGCTGCCTTAAACATAAATTAAATACAAACTACTACTACAATAATTAAATACAATAAAATACTAACTACAATGTACATTAAAGGTAGAAGAGAATGACTGGATGCTATAAACTGATGCAACATTACAGCAGTTTCTAGCGCTGCAGTAATGTAACTGAGGTAGCCTACTGACCAAGTCGACCGAGCAACTGTTAGTTATTACTGCATTTGAAATCATTATAAACTGCATAACATGCCTTTCCAGATGTCAAATAAGATTATACTTTCTTGTTCTTGTACTCTCTTGTGCAAGGGAACACCAAGCTAAACTACAGAGCACTGCCAGCCACCACCATGTAATCGGAAGTTTCTGAAAAGCTTTTACTCATTGTTTATTTTTTTATTATGCATAATGTCAAGTTAATAACACCAGGTGTGAAACAAGCTCCATTCCCACCAGCAATTTAATTTGTATTTAGATTTAAGTCAAATATGAGCAACAGTAATGCCCCCCTTTACCTAAAAGAACTACTTGCAAATGGTCTCCTACTTCCCAGGACCAAACTCAGCACCATGGCTGATCGGGCCTCCTGTTCTGCCGTCCCGCGACTATGGAACACCCTCCCAGACCATTTGAGGGCCCCACAGACTATTGAAAATTTCAAAAAAGGACTTAAGACATTTCTTTTTAATAGAACTTATGGATTTTAATTAATTTTGCAGGCTACAGGTTTCTTAATTATTGATTTACTTGCTTGTTTTAATTGATGTTTTAATAAGTGCTTTTCACTTTTTTAGGATGACTTATTTTGTGGCACTTTGAGATTTATTTTAAATGTAAGTGCGTTACAAATAAAATCTATTATGATTATTATTATTATTATTATTAACAAACTGCATCTGGCTTGCTGAAGAGCAGGCCGTCTGTATGCCCTATCTGTGATCACTATTGTGGATCTGGCCCTACACAAACAAATGGGTATCTGTAAATGTATAGATTTTTTCCATTATGAAATTGAAGACTTCTTTAAAATCAAGAGTTTTATCATCTGACATTTCTCAACCCCATATATTAATAAAATGTGAAATAGGTGTTTTGTCTTGGAGTAAATGCCAGCCACCCATGTAATGACTCAAATTAAATTACAAATTCTGAGTATACCAGTACAATATCATGCCGTAATGGAAATTCAGAAATGGAACTGAAAATGTATTAAAATACACCGTTGGTTTAAAATGGTGTAATTTTGTTATAGCTTGTTCCTTTTAACGGGCGTCATTTTTCTTTGGCTGTTATTTATTGTAGCTTGAGTCATCGCTGTGTATTTTCCCTGTGGCAGCGTGAAGTGTTCATTTTAGAGATGAATTTTAAATTGGAATACACTATTGTATGTTACGATGTTTGCATGATGCTTTAAGTTATTTATTTTTCTTAATCACCATCTTTCTCATATTGTGACTGTCACATTCTGTTAGGATAATTCCATTTACTGTTCACTTTCAATATCTTATTTGTTTTCCTTTTTGGTAATTCTAAGCTGTAAATGATAATGTGTCAGTATTTATGCGATCTCAATTACCTCTCTCTGGTTTTCTCTGCAAAGGGCAATTTCATTGTCAAGAATGCTAAAATAAATCAAGTTTGAAAGGCTGGTGGATTTCAATGGTTTAACACGGCAAACAAAAAAAAATATCATAGCAGTGGCAGTCACAGAAACGAGGATTTTCTTTGAATTCCCAGTCAATTAGGGAGAGTACTATTGGAACCATGCCTGTTTTTTTCTGAAAATAAGATGTCCACCACTGTATCAGCAGTACTAATTTGCTGCACAATGGGTTTCCGCTTACTGTGAACCTTTCCTACTCGCCACTTGTGATAAATCAGTGTAAACGCTCCCATGTCTTGCCAACATTGCATTTTAAATTCAAACTTGCAAATGCAGACCCTTTGTGCATATTTGGTCCTTAAACATACAGACTTTTTGGAGTCCCAAAATGAAACGAAAAGTCCACTATGCTTTGAGCGCTGAAATGATGAATAACAGCACACAAGCAGGCCTGAAATTAGGCCACCTTAGTTAGCGGCATGTGCATCGTCGTATATTTAAAAAAAATATTTTATAAAACAGACCTTCATCTGTCTGCTTGTACATATTTTCTGCACCCTAAATTGCAGACAGGACTCTCATAATACAAGAGACGCATATGGCCAATATGGCTACTATTTTTAGTGCTAGGCAGTGCTTTCAGTGAGATGTTTCTTGGTTGGCTAAGTATGGGGGGGGGGGGGTTCTGGCATCTGATAGGTCAGGTTGGTGCACCTGAGCAGAGCTCAGCTAATGCGACTCCACCCAAGGACAGCTCCTATGATCCTGCCTCCAGCTTGTTTCAGAATGATATAGAATAGAGACAGACATCCCAAAAATATAGCTACAGAGTGGTATCTGAAAAGGATGCAGTTTTCTAAATGTGCATGTTATGTTACTAGATATTTTTCACTATGTTAGTCTCCAGGAGGATTGTTCATCTACTTAATGTACCTGATGTGCTTTTTCAAAATAATAAATAAGAGCATAAGGTTTGCCTGAATCTCTGTAGGAGAGCATCCTGGGGTTCTTAGACAGCTGTAAGATGTATGATTCTATTTAGAAAGTACTTTTCATAATGTACTGGTTCAAATATTATTTAAATGTATAGTTGCAAACACAAGTAATGTCATATAAAGCAAAAACATTATGTTAACATATTTCGAACATACGTAATCCTTTGTGATTCTCTTTTTCATTTGTTGAATACCTATTGTCACAGCACCTCAGACCACCCACCAGCAAGGCCTTTTTAGCACATCTGTTTAACTTGGCGAGGTAAAGGTAGGAAAAATTCCAAAGAGGGTGCCCTGAATCACAGCCATGCATAAAATCCTACCTTGCACGTGGAATCCTTAGTAATTCCCAAAGAAATCATTTTTGCATAAACTGAAAGACACTATTTATTTGCTCACGTCTCTGATAATTGTTTTCTAATCAGTTGTCTTACTCGTTGTCTGTTTCAGGTATGAAGCAGATCCATGCTTTAAGTATCCAGGCCAACTACGAGCTGCGCATTGACCTGGAGGACTTTGAGAACAGTACCGCCTATGCACATTATGGCACCTTTGGAGTGGGCCTGTTCTCAGTGGATCCAGATGATGATGGATATCCACTCACAGTTGCTGACTACTCTGGCACTGCAGGTCTAGTATACCGATCTAATATTTAATTTAAATTTTTAATCTTGTACAATTTATCATATAGTGACCAGGATCATACCGTAAGCTATTTTACATGTCCATTGAGGGTTTTTTTATATGTAAAACATAGACATTGTAGCAATGGGTAATCAATGACAAAAATTTGTTATTTTTAATTTTATGCAATTCTGTGTCAAAACACAAAGATTAGGATTTCCTGGATTAATTCCAGGATGAAGATTCACTGGAAAAGGTTGTTTAAATCAATCATGAAATAATCATTAACCAACTGAAGGAAAATGATTATCTCTTTATTCTTTTTGTTCACGACTTGTTTTGCCCAGATGGTTATTTTCATCATAGTAGTGTTTTGTTCATGTGAATAATATTAGATTGAATATACATTTTAATCACCTCTTGGTAGCTTTAGTCCATTAAATGTAAAATATGACTTCAGAATTTGAGGTTTTTGTGTAAAGCTGCAGCTCAGAGACGCATTAAGATGGTGAGGAGCCTCTGGGCTGGCAGCGCTGCCTGAGGCCTGCCCACCGCTTCCCGTCACGGTGCAGCAACGGTAACACTAGTAGGAAACAAAAATGGAGCAGATGAAATATTTAGCAAATTGCACATTTTTGGTTTGTAGATGGTATGTTGCCAGGTGATTGTTTGTTATAAAACCTGTGAGAGAGCTGTTCCCTGTATCTATTATTTAAGAACCCAAAATAAGGCAGGGAGAAAAAAAATGTCAAAAAATTAAGCTGGAAACAGACCCAAACAAAGGACGACAAACAAAGCTTCTCCCAGCGTTTATACCTGCATTTAAACAAACAGTACTTATACAAACAGGCAGTAATGACTTTTAACTCCCACACAAATTAATTGCTGGTGGACTTTTAGCAATGAAATTGATTATAGTCGGTTATATAATACACTGAATTATAAGAGTTAAAGCCCACTCCAAGTATTAGTTCTGATTAAAACTTCTATTTGCTTATATAAAGGGTAATTCTTTATAGAACCAAGCAATAAATAAGTATTTAAAGTAGCTGTATGTAAATGCTGAATTTCATAGACTTTTTCCTAGTTTTACAATAGCAATGTAATCTTTGCAACAAAGCAGTAATACAAGCTTTTTTGCTGTAATTACGTAGATCGTCAGTGTGAAAGATCAATCTTGTCTGGTTTTCTAAGATTACTAGGACATTGGCAGTGTACAGGAACACCTGCTCTGATTATTTAAATGTTCTAGCTAATTACTCTTTTGTCCTGAAAAAAACTGAAAAACAAGTATTGTAGGCTGAGTAAGGAAGATAGAGGTTTGTGAGTTAGTGTGATAAGGCAGACAGCATGCACTGAGGTCATAAAGTCAGTAGCATGTCCTCAGAGCGCACTGCGTCTCTGCACACTGCGTCTCTGTCATCATGTTGACTGGCAGGGCAGCTTCTCTTTTGGCCAGGGTCACCCTCTGACATTACTGCTGTTATTGCTTTGTACTGCGTAAGCACCACATGTTGATAGAAAAGCTTTTATTTTCCGCTGACTAATATTAAATTGTATTCCTAAATTTACCACCGATATGACACGACTTTTGATTTAAACAAGGTTGAAGTACTGAGAGCTGTCCAGACGATGTTTATTTCACCGCGTGGCCTTAGAGAGTCTATATACCTTAAAGGTCACAGCTGCAAAGTGGGACACAGCCGCTTATTAACAGCCGTGACGCCTTGGTGTCGCTGCTGCTTCCTGTCTGCTGGAAGAGTTCAGTCCCCTGATTTCACATCAAAGGTTTGGAATCACGAAAATGTTAGCTTCTGTTCAAGAATTACATCTAAACACCGTAAAATTGCTGCTTTTAAACTGTTCAAGTTTTGAGACTGAACTGCAGGTTTCTTCCATTAAAAGTGAACGGGCTTTACCTGAATTTAATTTGGAAGTACAGCAACAGAGGAAGGACAAAATGACAGAAACATCCCAAAACTCGCAGGCCAAAAGTAGCCATAGCAGTAACAAACCACCAAATTTTTCTGTAATAACCTCCGTTTGGGCTGATTGTTTTTTTAATTGGCAACAGTAAATTCTTCCTGTAAGTCTGCATGGCAGGGTGTACAGCTTTGAAATGCTAATCTGATGTTTATCTTAATATTCGACACTACTTTTTATTTATTTACTCACTCAGCCTTTCACACTTTAAATGAGATCATTTGTGTCGCTTAGCAAGGTGTACAGTAGTAATATTGGCTCAACATATGTTATGGGTGAGTGATTTAGCAGCAACGTAAAGAAGCAGCTTCACATTTGGTTTTGAATATATCTCATTGTATTCAATAGCATGATAACCTTTTAGCACATCATTTATATTGTTCAGCGCCTTGTGAGCACTGTCTGTGAAAGGTACTCTATAAATAAATTTTACTTGCTTACTTACAGTAATGGGAAGCAGTAGTAATTGTCATAGACGCGTAACGGAATTCTGAAAAAGCAACATGATGGCTGTGATTGTGAGAATTCTATTACAATTAAAATGAATGAAAATTAAGTGGAAATGTGCTCTTGTACAGCATAGAACAAAAATAAACAATCATAAAATAATAGATTATATACAGTACGATGGAACAGAGCCTTCACCATTATTAACAGAAGAAACAAAGCTTTCATACAAAGTATGTGTGTTGTTTAATGAGGGAATTAGTTATTGTAGCTGTTAGTTGTCTATTTATAAACATTATATATAATATTATATATACTTCCATATAGAAGAGTTTTTCTCAAACATTAAGGAGAAGCCAAGAAGGGCCTATAGTACCACAGAAAACTCACTGCTGACATTGTGTTACTCCAGAGCAGCCAGGTGGGATGAATGTTTTACCTAAAGCTCCAGGACAATTCACTATAAACTGCTGTACACCAAGTTAAGAGTAATAGCTCTTGAAATATTTCTTCATTCCTGATAGTGACGACCATAAGCTATTGCCACTTAGTCATTCTTTAAAGTGAAGGAGTCTAATTGCACATGGCATAGTAGGTAATACGAAGGACTTTAAAACAAGAAGGCTACAGGATCATGAGGTATCCTGCAATTTTACCCCAGAAGCACAGCGGGGGAGACCATGCAGAGCGGACAGATGCGTCAGTCAGACCAAACGCACCATTTCTATCCACACTAAATTGCATACCATAGGTAAATCTCACTGAATCAAGACATGAGTCATACAAATAATATCAAAAAATCTCCTAGGGTTATAGTAATGAATCAGTAAGCATCAGTTATACAATCAGTATTTACAGTCTTTTCTCTTCTGCAAATCCTTAGTGAGCATGGATATCTTAACTGTAAAGCAGATTCTGGTAGTCATCTTCCCAGCTCATTCCAGTATAACTACTTAGTACTGAATCTATTTTCACATAGCTCATACAGCTGCATTTTGTATTGTATAATCATTGTATTCCCCAGATAGGGAATAAATATGGTTTTGGATGCAGTCCACCACAGCTGGAACCAGCCCACCAACACTTTCTCTTTAGCACGATAACTCAGTTAAAAGTGTTCAATGTATGTTTTTAATATTACAGACACATTGTATGGATGAAGATCTGGAACTGATTAAATTTAGTTAAAAGTCAGTTTTAAACTCAGTTAAAAGTGTTCAATGTATGTTTTTAATATTACAGACACATTGTATGGATGAAGATCTGGAACTGATTGAATTTAGGGACCGATCACACCAAAACTGAAACAGTGTCACGTAGTGATAGCAAAAAGGGGGGCAATTTCAGATACTTGATCCTATTAGCACATCAACTCCAAATATTTGACAGATCTTTTTAAAACTTTGAAGAAGTATTTTATGGGTGACAAACTGGTACTGATCAAATCTTAAAACAAATTGTGTGAAAAATGAAGGAACACTGTTTAGTGATGCAAAGGGAAAAGTAAAAGCAGAAGACATCTGGTGAACGTGATAACTCACAAAGTATTTGATGCATTTATTGTCTTCAGCAAATTTTATTGGCTTATCTTGGTGGTATTAAAGTGATATTTTTGTTATACAATAGGGGTTGGTTCCTGCCTCAAGCCATTTGCAATGTTTATATTATATTATATTATATTATATATAAACGATTACTCGATCAATCATCAGAATAATCTGTAGATCACTCGATTATTGATATAATAATTGATAGTGACAGTCCTACATAACATGAAAATCAAATTTAAATATGCATCAAAACACCATATCACTACAAGCCATATTCTTGCTTATTTATACATAATGTCCATGTGAAAATACATAAAAATACCAAATCAAATGATTTGCATATGATTTAAAGTGCAGTGTGCCTTGTTGCAGTGACATAAGTATAAATATATGTGGTGGGCGGATATGTAATTTACAGATTGTTAAAATAGCAGGTTGGTGACAGGGAGGAAGAGTTTTACATGAGCTGTGTATATTAAGGATGTAGTGGTGGCTGTAGTGATTAAGGAGTCTTACGGCGTGAGGATAGAAGCTCCTCCTGAGTCTCTCTGTTTTTGCCGTAATACTCCTAAAGCGCTTGCCTGATTTCAGCAGCTCAAACAGACAGTTACTGGGATGAGACAAGTCTCTGATCATCCTGGTTGCTCTGCTCCAGCATCTTCTGGTATAAATGTCCTGCAGAGACAGTAGAGAAGATCTAGTACAGCGCTCTGCTACTCGAATCACTCTCTGTAGTCCCTTAATGTCCTGTACACAGCTGTTTCCATGCCAGGATGTGATGTTCTGGGTCAAGACATTTTCCACAGCGCCGGAGTAAAAAGTCCTAAGAACTGCTGGAGAAATCCAAAACTTCCTCAGCTGTCTTAGGTGGTAAAGATGCTGCCTCGCCTTGCTGGACAGGGCTTGGATGTGTACTGTCCATGTCAGATCCTCAGTGATACGTACGCCTAGTTATTTGAAGCTGCTTGCTGTAGAGGGTGGAGTAGGAGCGCTCCTTATTTCTCCTGATCTCCACTACCAGCTCCT